CTAAAGTCTTAGGCTCAATAATCATGCGTAGACTGAGTGGTGCTCGGGAAGCACAAACACGAGAGAGCCAGGCAGGCTTTAGACCAGGAAGAGGGTGTATTGATCATATCTTCACCCTCCGACAGATTCTAGAACATAGGCATTCCTACCGGCGTCCAACAGTCATTATATTTCTTGACCTAAAGGCAGCATTCGACTCTGTCGATCGGGAAGTTCTCTGGAGATGCTTGGCTGTAAAGGGAATTCCGAGAAAATATATTGCACTGATTAAGGCACTCTACTCGTACTCATACAGCCAGGTGAGGGCTTACGGCGAGCTGTCATCTGAACTGATGACGACCAGTGGTGTCCGTCAAGGATGCCCATTATCTCCTTTTCTATTCAACTTCATCATAGATGTGTTAATGGACTTAACCCTAGGTGACTTCAGAGGGATTGACTTGCTACCGGGAATAATCTCGTTGACTTGGAATATGCAGACGATATAGTCCTTCTAGGCGAAGACGCTGACGAAATGCAGAGTCTTCTAAACACCTTGAGCCGCAATCTACGAATGTTTGGCATGCGATTCGCTCCCGCCAAATGCAAGATGATGTTACAGGACTGGACTACATCGACGCCTAGTTTAAAAATAGGAAGTGAAGTGGTAGAGCACGTTGACCGCTTCACTTATTTGGGAAGTACCATCAGCCCCAACGGGCTGATCTCTGACGAAATCTCAGCACGAATACAAGGGGCTCGTTTCGCATTTGTTAGTTTACGCCGACTCTGGCGTAGACGAGATGTTCGACTATCGACCAAAGGGCGGGTGTACTGCTCATCAGTCCGCTCCGTCCTCCTTTATGGTTGTGAGACCTGGCCACTGAGAGTGGAAGACATGAAAAGACTAGCTGTCTTTGATCATAGGTGCCTGCGTTCTATTTCCCGTGTAAAGTGGCATAATAAGGTGAGCAACATGGAGGTTAGGCGTAGAGTTCTAGGTAAACAGGGGAAATCAATCGACGAAGTCGTGAAGCTACAAAGACTGAGATGGTTAGGACATGTGTTACGTATGCCAAGCCATCGCCTCCCTCGACGAGCAATGTTAGCGGATATAGGGTCAGGCTGGAAAAAAGCTAGCGGCGGTCAAACAAAAACTTGGCATCAGTCAATGAAATCCACAACAGTTGGTCTAAGCCACGTAGAAAGGTGTAGACTTCCAGGCTGGGGTCCTCGGGACGGTAAAAATCTATGGTTGGAAACAATTGGTGACATGGCTCAAAATCGTTCTCAGTGGCGCAGATGCATCCACTCCCTGTGACTTATGATCTTCAATGAAACTGTTTTGTATTTCTTTATTACTCCTTTGTCTCACACCTCTGCTCACTGTTTCTATTATGCTTTTCTTGTACTTTCTTCTCTTGCTTCGCGTGCTACACGGAATGTGGCGACTTGAACTTCCGCACATTTGTGCAAAGTTCTATGTCGAAAACAGACAGACAGACAGACTGAATTCTATCAGTCAGTCAGGTTTGTAATATGGCCACTATTCTAGGTAGTTCGCCATCACGGTGAACATTGATTTGATGATATTAGATGGTCGGAGACAATTGGCAGGAAACCTTGGCACTAGTGCCAACTAGCAAGAAACCTAGGCCAGACAACGCTTCCTGTGGCCGATTGCCTCCAGCTATCTAATATCATCAAATCAAAGTGCACCATGATGGCAAGCTACCTAGAATGGTGGCCACATTGCAAACCTGACTGATAGAATTCAGTCTGCACGAAAGAAAGGACTAGACACGTCACACTAATTACTAGTGCCCAATCAAAATATCCACTACAGTCCGACAAGAGGTCAATCGTGAGCTTGAATAGCTCAGTATAATAACGTCTGTCACTGCAGACAGCACTGGCTGGTGACGCGGGTTCGAATCTCAGAAGGAGGGACATGAGTTCCTTCAAGGCAGTTGCAGATACGCCTTGTTGACTGACGGTTGAGTGCCAACTAGCACGAAACCTAGGTCCTAACAAGGCTTCCTGTGGCGGCCAATTGCCTCCAACCATCTAATATCATTAACTCATTAAATTATTCATCTTATTAAGTAACTCGAATACACCTAAACAACTCCTTTTACGTATTGTCTGATGTTAACAACAGCTATGTTGGTGTGACAACTCATCACTTTTGTTACTGCCCTCTTTCATGAACAAGATATGGTAGATAAATGGGAGGCCAAGTTAAACTTTAAGCACCACTAACTAACTACCAATGGAGTGCGACCGCACCAATGACTTTGAGACGCTCACTGAGTAAGTTAGTGAAACCCAGCAAATAATTTTTGTCATCATCAATGAGATATGCTAATCGAAGTGTTATGCTCTTAAATGGGATGGATATTTGGCAAGTTTCTGCTTAGTTGTTTCTGAAAGATTAAGTTACCCTTTAAGTCAAGGACAAATTACGGTTAGGATAACCTAACAAAGGCGAGAGTAGATTTGATTGGAGTTCGATTACAATTTGTTTTGGGGATATTTTCACGTTAGGGTTATTTTTAAGGTTAGAAGACCTAAACAACTGCATGCATAGAATGTGGTTAAATTACTCTGTTAATATAAGAATAGAACTTGTGCACTGTGGCAAAATATAATTCCATTGTGAGTAAAATTTATTTTGATAAAGTCGTGATATTTACTGATGATGACGTTCTGAGCACCATTTATTACTCAGTAAATATAACTGCATAACAACATTATGAGGCTTTATCGAAATCTGTCTGTCTGTCTTGATTCAACATAGAACTTGGCACCGAAGTGCAGCAGTTCGAGTTGCCACGTTCCAAATACCACACAAAGGTAGACAAGAAGATGAGTGGAAAGAATTAATAGAGTTTCACAAGTATAAGGGTGAAACAGAATGGGTAATGGTAAAAAGGAATATGAAAGATTAAAGAGACTGAATACATCTGCGCCATTGACAACGATTTTGAGCCATGTCACCTATTGTCTCCAGCCATTGATTCCTAGAGTCCCGAGGGCCCCAACCCGGAAGTCTGCATCTCCCTCCCTACCTAACTCAGTTTAACTGTCGAGGATTTCATGGATTGACGCCATGTTTTTGTTTGGCCACCACTTACTCTTTTCCAACCTGCACCTATATCAGCTAGTAATGCTCGTCGGGGGAGGCGATGGTTAGGCATGTGCATCACGTGACCTAGCCATCTTAATCTATGTAACTTTATAGCCTCGTCGATTGATTTTCCCTCTTTGCCCAACACTCTACGTCTAACGTCAACATTGCTTACCTTATTATACCACCTAACGTGAGACAGAGATCGCAGACATCTATGATCAAAACAGCCAACCTTTTCATGTCTTCAACTCGTATCGGCCATAGAGAAGGACGGAGCGAACTGGTGAGCAGTACATACGTCCTTTAGTTGATAGCCGGATGTCACGCCTACGCCAAAGACGGTGTAAGCTGGCGAAAGCAGCTCGAGCTTTTTGCATCAGTGCTGAGATTTCGTCGCCAATCAGTCCGTTGGTGCTGATACAACTTCCCAAATAGGTGAAGTGGTCAACATGTTCTATCATTTCACTCCCTATCACTAAGCTAGGAGTTGACGTAGTCCAGTCCTGTAGCAGCATCTTACATTTCACAGGGGCGAATCGCATGCCAAACATACGAAGATTGCTGTTCAAGGTGTTCAGAAGACTCTGCATTTTGTCAGCATCCTCCCCTAACAGGACTATGTCATCTGCATATTCTAAGTCCATAAGACTATACCCCGGTAACAAGTCGATTCCCAAGTCGTTAAGTTCAGTTAAGGATACTTCCATTATCATATCTATGATGAAGTTAAACAGAAATGGAGAAAGTGGACATCCCTGTCGGACATCACTGGTTGTTATCAATTCAGATGACAATTCCCTATAAGCCCTTACACGGCTACGTGAGTTTGAATGGAGTGCCTTGATTAGTGCAATATACTTTCTTGGCACTCCCTTCACAGTCAAACATTGTCATAGTACTTTTCGATCCACGGAGTCGAAGGCCGCCTTCAAGTCAAGAAATATGGCAATTGTTGGACGCCGAAAAGTGTGTCTGTGTTCTAGAATCTGTAGGAGAGTGAAGATACGATCTATGCACCCTCTACCTGGTCTAAAGCCTGCTTGATTTTCCCTCGTTTTTTCCTCCCGAGTTCTGCTTAGTCTGTTCATGCTTTATCGAAATAAATTTTACCCACAATGGAACTATACACTCTGTTGATACTCCAACCTAAAAGTGAGAGCTATTTTTATCACATGTAAGAGCCAGATATCCTTTGTAACACTTTTACACAGTTTTCAGGCATTTTTTTTCATAAATATATGTGTAATTCACACACAAAAATGCCTCCTTCTCGTGATTGGTACGTTTGAGGTCATTCGCTGATTGGTAGTTAGTTAGTGTTGCTTAAAGTATAACTTTGCCAAATGGGATTGTACAGCTGAAGAGGAAGATAAATTCGTCGGTGAAAAAGAGCCTCTTCACTTAAATCACGTATTTTATTTTCATTAATGTCTAGATGGGAATAATAAATCATGAACTCAGATGAATCAGCGATCCAAAGACACTAGAGAAAGAATTCAAATAAGTCCGCTCGGTAACCTGAAGTTTCCGCTGAACACGGGTTGTGTCTAGAAGAAAGACCATGAAAGCTTCATTCAATTGAACTACCATCCAGGATTTAGAGAACATAACCACACAAGGAGAACTTTTTTTTCCTTCGCGTTCCCCAGTGGAACATAGGCTTCAAGTTTCTGTAGCAGTGTTTATTTTTACAGGATAGGGTTGCTAGCCAGCGTCATGCCCAACCTTTCATTTTTACCAGCATTATTTCTGGCTTAGTGAAGTAAGGGAGTGCGTCCGTGGCCGGGGATCGAGCCCCGGACCATGTGCATGGTCGGCGAGCGTCCTAACCGCTATGCCACCGACACACAAGGAGAACTTTAATAATTACTTTATGAAGCATAAAACGACTGTACAAAAATCTATATTACGTCATAATTCGATTATTTACAGAGATTTCAGAAAAATTAAAAATAAACTAAATGAGAGAGAGAGAGAGAAGGTGGAGATTAGGCCTCAGTTGTAGTCAATTGAGTATAACGTTGTCGACTTGTTGCTGGACTAGAGAAGAGTTTAAAAAATCCAGATACAATTCGAGGCATCATTCCAATTGTGAGAATACCTGTCCAGCCGAAACCAACACCATCACCATCACCAGCCCATAGTTCATTACCAGTATCAGTGAATCGGTTGGTACGACGATAAATGGACTTGGGTTCATCAGTGTTTGCTATGCCATTCTGGTTTAATGGTTCAAATGCGGAATTTTCTAACTGAGGAAGATGATAGTCTAAAAATGGAAGAGGAGAATATGATAAGATTAAGTACGATTTATAATTATTAATTCAAATATGAGTTAGCTAACTTTTTACTCAACCTTTTTTTGCTATCTGATTAGAAGGAAAATAGAGGATTTAAAGTTAGTGAATTTTCACTAGGAGTGATGTCGTCTCGTTGTTAGCCTCTCAGAATCAACTTTCTCTTCTCACAACATTGTATCCTACTTAGACAAAGGGGCCAAGTATGTCCGTTGTACGTTCCTTGATTATACATCTACTTTCGACTCTGTACCCAAAGGCCTTTTGTTAAACAAGCTTACAAACAAGCTTAGCCTTACACAAACTGAGTCCTGGGCTATCAACTGGCTGCACTCTTACTTCTCTAATACAATGCAGTACACGGTATATAATGGCGTATCTTCCCCATCCTACGCTTACAGAAGCTGGAGTTCCTCAGGGTGCTGTTCTCTTTCTCTGCGTTTCCCTTTTCCTTCTTCTTACATGACTTACCTCTTTCAGATGAAATCAACTTAGCCAAATATGCAGATGACCTGACTGTTTCGCTTCCCGTTAAGTTTCAGTCAGACAGACTGTTTCAAATTAAATATCTTCCTGTCGGACATCAGTCAGTGGTCTAAACTAAATGGCCTCATGCTGAATCCCTCAAAATGCCAGACTATTGACTTCTCCTTTAGGCATAAACGAGATCTACAGACACTAGTAAGTACCCATGAAGCCTGTAGCATCGAAGGGACTAAAATTGAAACGAAGTCTAGTGCAAAATACCTCGATCTAGTTCTATCTTCCAACCTTACTCGGACATCTCATATCCTAACGATTTCTAAGAAAATGTTCCGTCTAACCTACTACATTAAGAAACTTAGACTATCTGGAATCACCCAACCTCTACTTTCACAATTTGTCAACTCTCGTATCTTACCTATTCTACTTTACTGCTCCCCATTAGTCTTTCCTGGGCTACTGAAAAAGGACTATACCATCCTGAGAAGGACGTTGAAGGTAGTTAGTAGGACTAGTGGTGTAAAACTTAGTCAGCTCGTCACTACATTAGTAGAAAGGCATCTGAATACATGCGAAGAATGGTCCAAAGCCATACTCTCCGACCCACAACACGCCCTCTATTCCCAACTCTCTCCTTGCATCTCATCAGGTAGAACCAGAAATCAGTACAAAATAATATATGCTCGTACAACCAAGTATAGGAACTCAACGATACCATATTTGGCCCGTGTTCTAAGTGATAGAGACAAAGGCGAAGACGCTGACAAAATGCAGAGTCTTCTGAACACCTTGAGCAGTAATCTACGAATGTTTGGCATGCGATTCGCTCCCGCCAAATGCAAGATGATGTTACAAGACTGGACTGCAGCGACTCCTAGTTTAGAAATAGGGAGTGAAGTGGCAAAGCACGTTGACCGCTTCACTTATTTGGGAAGTACCATCAGCCAACCCCAACGGGTTGATCTCTGACGAAATCTCAGAACGGATACAGGGGGCTCGTTTCGCATTTGCCAGTTTACGCCGTCTCTGGCGTAGACGAGATATTCGACTATCGACCAAAGGGTGGGTGTACTGCTCATCAGTCCGCTCCGTCCTCCTTTATGGCTGTGAGCGAGATCTGGCCAATGAGAGTGGAAGACATGAAAAGACTAGCTAGCTGTCTTCGATCATAGGTGTCTGCGTTCTATCTCCCGTGTGAAGTTGCACAATAAGGTGAGCAATATTGAGGTTAGCCGTCGAGTTCTAGGTAAACAGGGGAAATCAATCGACGAAGTTGTGAAGTTACAAAGACTGAGATGGTTAGGACATGAGTAACATATGCCTTGTCATCGCCTTCCTCGACGGGTAATGTTAGTGGATGCAGGGTCAGGCTGGAAAAGAGCTAGTGGAGGTCAAACAAAAACATGGCGCCAGTCAATGAAATCTACGACAGTTAGTCTAAGCCATGTAGGAAGGTGTAGACTTCCTGACTGGTTGGGGTCCTCGGGACGGTAAAAACAAATGGTTGGAAACAGTCGGTGACATGGCTCAAAATCGTTCTCAGTGGCGAAGATGCATCCACTCCCTGTGACTTATGATTTCCAATTAAACTATGTTGTTCTTCGTTACTACTATTCCTTTGTCCCACACCTCTGTTTACTGTCTCTATTATGCCTTTCTTGTACTTTCTTCTCTTACTTTGTGTGCTACATGGAGTGGGGGAGTGTGGCGACTTGAACTGCCGCACATATGTGCAAAATTCTATGTCCAAAACAGACAGACAGATAGAGACAATGTTAAGCGCGAAACCTATGACTTGCTTTGTAGTCAATAATATAATTTTGGCCCTTGTCATTTCCCCCTTATACTCTCTTATTTGTACTCTATAGTGAACAACCTTCTTAAACATACTTAGCTACTTAATATTATTATCATGGGCTTACTTTTTTGTACTTTATTTTATTCCTTTTTTCGTGTATCTACTGGTTCCGACTATATTATCACTATGAGTATTACAAAATTGTCCTGTCATTAACCTTCATATAATATTAGTTTTGTGGTTGTTTTTTTGTTCGGCACTATTTAACTGACAATCTTGGTTGTGAACGCCGTTATCACCATCTTAAAAATTCCCGGCCGATAACTGCTATCTTGTCGTGGTGGTCGGGCTTGAATACCGTAATGACCCAACATGCTAAACTGACTATGACTGTCCCTGCAGGTCCTACCATGTCAGGAAGGTTTGGATAGCAGTTAAACTAAAAGCAGTTACCATGGGGTACATGGGCTCCAGTATCCGATCGGATCAAATGGAGTATGAACCCATATGGGTCACCGGCGACCATGGGAATGTGGCCCCTGACGCTGCTCTGTTGCCTTGCGGATTAGATTCCAAGTCGAAGGCTCCGTGGGTGGTCCCTTGATAAAACCACCTGCTTCGGTATGGGCGCCCGGGCAGTATCTCAGCCCTCACACAATGGACTGAATGAAGCAACAAACAATCAACGAAACTTATCGCGTGCTATTACACGTGTTGCAATTTCCTTCTTTCTTCCCTTCCCGATGATAGTTAACGAACACTGTTTGAACTTGTTAAGCATGACTGTTTTCTTTCCAGATGAAGTTCCTCATCCTTTCTCTACTTATACATATATTTGCCCTGAATAGGGCAAGTCGCTAGTGTTCATCTCATCGATATTCAAGTGGTGGTTTGTAGGGATTTGGTTGATTGGTTACAGGATTTCATCATGAGCTGACATCAGTTACAGAACAACTGGAAAACCTGGGAGTACTGGGCAGATGTTTCGTCCTAGTTTGAGACTCTTCATCAGTACGTGTCCACCGGGGTTCGAGTTAGAATTCATGAACTGGCCATTGGTTCGGGTTCCAGTGGCTTAATGATCTACGAGCTCACTAGCCTTGTGACCGGAAGGTCCTGGGTTCGAACCCCTATGAGTGCGTACTGTTGAAGAGTCACAAACTAGGGTGAAACAGCAGTTGTCCAGTACACCCTGTTTTTCAATGGTTCGCTAACTGATATCAATCCGTAGTGAAACTCGTAAAAAGAAGTTTAATTACAATAAATTTCATACAGTTGATGGTGGAGACATGCCCAGATGTTAACTGGTGGATGGTGACTGGCAGTCGAATCCAGGATAACGCGCATTTTGTCCTATTTGAGACTCGTCCTGCAGCTAGATGTACCTGTATTCCCCAGTCAGTGAGTAATGATGTTCCCCGCACCGAGGCTCGAACCCAGTACCCACAGTTTCAAACACCAGCCAAAGCGTTATCCACTAAACCATTTGGGCCACGAGATTCACCTCTTTCTTGTGCAACGGGTCATATTAATTATTTGATTGAATTTTAGACGGGAAAACCTAAAATTCAATTAAATGCCTAGATGTTACTGTAAATTTAACTGTCATATTGATTTACTTGATGGTGGCTAACGGTCGAATGCAAGAATGTCATGGCAGATTTCTTAACGAACTAATGAGTACTGGTCATCTATGACTAACTACACGATGGACATCCTAGAGTTCCTAGTGAAAAGTTATCACCAATAGGATTAACCAAGATGAATGTGAAGAGGGGGTACTCACTGATAGGGTTGAATGCTTGTGGTGCTGTATATTGCAAAATAGAAGATATTGGAATTCATGACACACTCAATTTCGATCCGATAATTGAAGCATAACGTCATCGCCTCGCAATACTAAGCTCCAACGTTTAATCCCTGATAGAGTCATATATATATGCATACTGGCTGAAGGGTCCCAAAGTAGGACGAAACACCTATCCAACAATCCTTAGTTTTCAGTGATTCTCTAAACGATTTCGGTTCTTGAGTGAATATTCTATTTTGAAATTAGTTGAAATCCCTACAAACATCAACATTTAAAATAAAAAAACTCATCCAAGAATCATTGTTTTATAGCACTGAGATGATTGGTGTCCATTTTTTCCCTTACAATAGATCCACTTCAAGAAGGAAGAAGAGGTGAAGCAATCAACGGCTCTCAACGGACACTTGGAAGTTAATAGAAAAGAGAGAAGGGGGGGGGTGAAACATGACGATAAAGCCAGTGCAAGTCAGGTAGAACGCGCACTGAAGTCAACAAGAGTACTAGGAAAGACAACGGACAGTTAAACGGTACTTTGACAAGTGAAGCGAAAAAGGCTGCAGACAAAAGGGACTTCAGATCTCACTACTATACCAGATCAACACAGATGAAACTAATGAAAGATAGTGAAGACACAATGTGGACTGGTTACTTCAAGCGACTCTTGAACCAACCATTACCAACAGCTACAGAACCCCCACCGGTGAACACCACTCTGTATTCGGACACTAGTTCCTAACTAAGAGATCAATCACGAGCCTGAATAGCTTAGTAGTGATATCTCTGACTGGAGTGACGGCACTGAGTAACGCGGGTTCGAATCTCAGATAAGTCATGCTGAGTGGTGTGGTGACTGCCAAATAGTGCGAAACCTAAGACGTCCAAGGTTTCCAGCGATCTCCTTAACAAAAGCAAAAGCTTTGAATATCATAAAGTGACATGAAGGAGATCGTTTGAGGAGGAGGAGAAGGGACCTTATAGACAATCGTGTGGCCAGTTAAAAGGACCGGAAACAACCGGATGCAGTCGAAGTGTGTTGTTGGAGTCCGATGTTCCACTTGGAACCCAAGGGAATGATAATAATAATAATAACAGTAATAACATTTTGCAAACTAGACTCACCAATTTTATCCTTCTTTTCTGTAGATTGTTCATTTTCTGATTGATATTGTGCAACTGGATCAAATTTTGCAGTGTGATCACCTTTTCTAAGTGATTTTTTCCTTTCTTTATATTCACTTTGTCGTTCTGCCCAAAAGTGATTCCAACGTAAACGCCAATCATAATAGGCTAGCCCACCTTGTCTATATGACTCCCCCAGACTAGAGACAATTTGATCAACGCGTAAACAACAATGTCTACGCCAGGCTAAGATAATTTGATGTTGTAGAAATACACCAAATAAGGGGAGTAGTGTATAAATCAGAAGTCGAGAAGGCGATGATACACGAAGTGGTAATTTCATAAGTCTATTGAGAAGAAATATTGTCTGTGGGAAGAAAAAGAGGATTGGGGGAGACATACATTCACATATATGAGCATAACAGTCTTAGATAATGGTAATTGGAAAACAGATTAACGTTGAATTATTATTTTTATTGTTTCCTTTAGTTCCTAGAGGAACATAGGGTTTCAGCCGAACGTCTCCATTGCGTTCGGTTCTCTGCCAACATTTTCATCTGGCTTCCCGTCTGCCCACATGCTTTCATCTCCTCTCTGCATCACCTCCACCTCCGTGTCACCCTCGCAATGACAACCAACTCGCCACTTCCCATTCGGCCAGGTTTCACTCGAGCGATGGCCTGTCGCATGATGTCACTTGATGGTTTGTTTCCTCAGAGTATGGCCAATCTATCTCCATTTCTTCCTGCATATTTGTTGCATAATCTGTTCCTGCTGGGTTGGTTCGCCCTCAGAGATCCTTGTTGCTGATCTTTTCTGGTCGGCCATCTGATCTTGAGTGATACTGAGCGACGGCAGGTGTTGACGGTCTGTAGTTTGTTTGAGGTGCTCTTTATGACGCGCCAAGTCTCTAATCCATACAGTAAGTAGCAGTGACTTCACATTCGATGAATACCTTTAGTATTTTGAATTTCTAATTGGTGGATGGTGACTAGCAGTGGAAACCATGACAACACACATTTCGTCCTATTTGGGACTCGTCATCTGGATGTACCTGTGTTTCCCAATGAGTCAGTGATGATGCTTCCACTACCGAGGCTGGAACCCAGTGACCATAGTTTCAAACGCCAAAGCGTTATCCACTAGACCACTTGGGCCACCTATTGTGCAACGGGTCATATTAATTTAAATGAATTTGACATTTTCCCGTCGATTGATTGGACCGAAGTGCTCGGTCTCACGTTGACGTGTCGGCTTCTTGTGCAAATTCTTTGACGATATCTAGGCATTTAGCTAGTATTTAATTGATGGATGGTGACTAGCAGTGGATCTTATGCCTTGATAGACTGGCTGACTAACTGCGTTTCAGCATAGAACTTTGTGCAGAAGCGCAGCAGTTCTAGTCGTCACATTCTACCATGCAGCACACAAAGGCGGGGAAAATAAGATTCAAAAGTACTATACTCAGCAGAAATATGAGGCAGGAAGAATAGTAACATGGGAAAATATGACGGTTTTTAATGAATATGGCAGAAACCTACAACAACAGGTCAGTATACTCATTTTTTTGAGTTTTGTACCTTTGAAATATAAACGTAACCTGGTTAAGTGTCTGGTTCATAGAACTAGGCGATAATCTGTTCAGACGACTGTCTCAATGAGGAGCTTAAGATTATTAGAGAATTACTAAGAAAAACATGGTTATCCAGATAAGTTCATTGAGAAAAATATGAATTCAGCAACACCTAGGAGAGTCAGTATAGCAACAGTTCCGAAAAACTGCAGTTCCTCAGTGACAACATTAGCGAAATAATAACACAGTGCCTGAAGAATGCAGTTAAAAGGGCTTATTATGCAGAAGAGGTACACTGTCTCTTCACAACCACCCCTATTCTACGTTCGAGAAATAAGGATAAACTACCTAAATTTGCCTCCTCTATGTGTATCTACCAGTTTGACTGCAGCTGCGGAGCCAGCTACATTGAGTGTACAGTTAGGCAGGTTCATAACCGTATTCCTGAAAATCATCCAGCATGGTTAAGCATGGGACAAACAAGATCCATTCGTAGCTGTCTGTTTTATCACACCTTGTAGATAGTGAGAGAAGTTTGACGTTAATACTGCATTTAAAATTATTTATCGCATTCCAACCAACCTTAATTTTGCTCTACAAGTTTGTCTTTTACAGACAGCTGAAGCAATAGGAAGAAGCCAAACCGGTATGTTCAGAAGAAATTTATACAGCCACTTTCCTTACCTTGGTCATCGTTACATGAGTGTATAAACCAGACTACTTCGCCCCCCACTCCCCCTAAACCTTTAAAATTATAAAAATTATAATTGTCCAAATTATTTTATTATTTTTTCTGACTACTTCATCTTTAACTACATGTTATCGTTGACTCTGTACCTAGAGGCCTTTTGTTAAACAAGCTTAGCCTTACACAAACTGAGTCCTGGGCTATCAACTGGCTGCACTCTTACTTCTCCAATAGGATGCAGTACACGGTATATAATGGTGTAGCTTCCTCTCCTTTGCTTACTGAAGCTGGTGTTCCTCAGGGTGCTGTTCTCTCGCCGTTTCTCTTTTCCTTCTTCTTACATGACTTACCTCTCTCAGACGAAATCAACTTCGTCAAATATGCAGATGACCTGACTGTTTCGCTTCCCGTTAAGTCTCAGTCAGACTGCTTCAAATTAAATAGCTTCCTGTCGGACATCAGTCAGTGGTCTAAAATAAATGGCCTAACGCTGAATCCCTCAAAATGCCAGACTGTCGACTTCTCCTTTAGGCATAAACGAGATCTACAAACACTAGTAAGCACTCATGATGTCTGTAGAATCGAGGGGACTATAATTGAAACAAAGTCTAATGCAAAATACCTCGGATTAGTTATATCTTCCGACCTTACTTGGTCATCTCATATCCAAATGATTTCCAAGAAAGTGTTTCGTCTAACCTACTACATTAAGAAACTCAGACTAACTGGAGTCCCTCAACCTCTGCTTACACAATTTGTCAACTCTCGTATCCTACCTATTCTACTTTACTGTTCCCCGTTAGTCTTTCCTGGGTTACTGAAAAAGGATTATACCATCCTGAGAAGGATGTTGAAGGTAGTTAGCAGGACTAGCGGTGTAAAACTCAGTCAGCTCGTCACAACATTAGTGGATAAGCATCTGAATACATGTGAGAAATGGTCTAAAACCATACTCTCTGACCCCCAACACCCCCTCTATTCACAACTCTCTCCCTGCATCTCATCAGGTAGAACCAGAAATCAGTATAAAATAATATATGCTCGCACAACCAAGTATAGGAACTCAACGATACCATATTTGGCCCGTGTTCTAAGTGACAGAGACAATGTTAGGCGTGAAACCTATGACTTGCTTTGTTGTTAATAACATAATTTTGGCCCTTGTTTTTTCCCCCTTACACTCTCTTATTTGTACTCTATAGTGAACAACCTTCTTAAACATACTTAGCTGCTTAAAATTATTATCATTGGCTTACATTTTTATTCTTTATTCTATTCCTTCTTTGTACATCTACTGGGTCCGACTATATTATCACTATGATTATTAAAAATTGTCCCGTCTTTAACCATCATGTAACATTAGTTTTGTGGTTGTTCTTTGTTCGGCACTATTTAACTGACAATCTTGTTTGTTATTGCCACTATCACCATCTTAAAAATTTTGTATTATGCATGATTCCTCACACTGCCACTACAAACAACCGCATTAGTACTGACAAAAAAGAAAACAAACCTGAAATGTTTATCTTATGATTGCTTAGTGTTGTTCAATCAAATTAACTGATCATCTTGGCTATAAACATTTTTTTTAAGAACATCTCATAATTTCGCGTATGATTATAGCTGTTACTGTTCACCACGCATAAACATATCGTAGCTTCCACTAACTAATACTGAAATATTTTTTTTTCATTATTTGTGTTGATCTTCTTTTTTTTACTCAATATTTTTATTTGCATTTTTTTTTGGTTATTTCTGTTTCTTTTGTTTGGTTTTTATAATACTCCTTTTAAATGTACGATGAAATTAGATGCAATATTGTAGATATGTGCTGAAAATTCCACACTGTACCACAAGTACTGTTTCTGGAATAAAGCGAAATTGTTATGTTATGTTATGTTTTTTCTTATGACCACTTCAACCTCAGTTACAAGTTATCATTGTCCAAATCATTTTATTTTCTTTAACAATCTGTTACGTAATCGACCTGTGCACACGCTTATTCCTTAATTGCTCTTCATTTTTCCAAAATTACGCATTATGCAATCCACGTGTTGTAACCATTTCCAACTTTTAATTGTGTATTAATTTTCTTCGTTAATTATCACCCCACTGCTTGACATGTTGACACTGACTAATTATTGTTAACAATCATATCAGTGCCACTGCCTGATTGGTAAACTGTTGTGTATTGTAATAAAAATGCTATACGTGTATATTAGAGCAGAGCCACAGTGAGATGAGGATCTAATTGATAAGTAAATATTTCTTCGTTGCTCGTTCCTTGTGTTTTCTAAATACGACGGATCACGCAGAGAGACAGTGGGAGCGCCATTAAGAACGATTCCCAAGGACCCCAACGAGATAGCCTATACCTCTCTGTGTGATTGGGTCAAACAAACTGTTTAAGACCTCATGAATTGATTCCAGGTTTGGGTCCGACCCACCCGTAATTCTTTTAAAACTTAATTCTATGCCAGCCAACATTGCCTGTCAAGGAAGACAATCACTCGGGATGCGTGGCACATGTCCGAGCCATCTCAATCAACGCAGCTTCACAACCTCATAGATACTTTCCCTACTTACCTAACCCTTGACGCCTAACCTCTAATTGACCTTTCTAATATAATACAACTTCGAAGGACAACTATTTCTGCTAGTATGCATTGTTAAGTTATTAAAATATACAAATCCGACAACTACATATATTCAAGACAGAGTCCAGCTTTAACCAACCATAAAAGTTTTAACACCTATAGAGAATTTGACCGAGATTTTTTAAATTTAAATTAACAATGCATAAAAGCACCCTACCTGATATGACAGATAAAGACTACCAATCACTCCGCCCACGGTAAGTAAAGACTGGCCACGAGCTGAAAGAGGCAGTTTCAATCCAGTCGATGTAGTCGCTTGAAGTCGAACAATTTCACGGGCTATAAGAAATTTTAAAGCTGATTCTGGTATTATCATAAGATCCATACGTTCACGACTTATTTTTGAAAAAGGTCCATAAGGAAAATAAGGTCTACAGAAGGGAGGGGAGTGGGGTAAAGAAGAAAGGAGTAGAGGAGGATTGATGTGTAAATTCAAAATAAATATTACTTAAATAATAATGACTTGTTAATAATAATAATAATAATAATAATAATAATAATAATTTACCGTATTCCAAAAACAGTACTTGTGGTACAGAATGGACTTTTCAGCATTAATCACAATATTGCATCTAATTTCCTCAAATTATAAATAAAATTAATCACACAGAAAAATTTTCCACATTTACTATAGGGGTAATGTCAGAAACATGCGGCATATAAAATGGAAATAATAATAATAATGATAACAGCTAGGGTAATAATAATAATACAAGTGAAAATTGCAGTGGGCTTGTTTCACACAGTATTGTCGTTAAATGCGGTATAGAAATCCCAGTATGTTGAAAAATTATTGAATATAATGTTCTCTTTACATGATGATGATGATGATGGTGAGGGGAAAAACAAAGATTACAGCAGTCATAGAGATAAGTTGGTGTTTGCAATTATGAGAGTAAAACAAACAAAGATCAACAGGACCATAAATATAATAGAAATAATAAAAGTAAAACTTGTTTATTTACTAGATGAAAAAAGGTTAGTTAGTTCTTGCCTGACACTATTTTCATCACATAAAATGCTTGCTGTCAAGTATGGTATCATAGAATTTTTATACTTAGACGTGCGAGCATACAGTTTTCTGAAGTTACTTCTTGTTCTACCTGAGGAGATGCGAGGTGAAAGCTGAGGGCAAAGTGGATGCCCCAAGTCAGACAGAATGCTAATACATTTTTTATTACATTGATGATGAATGAATGAATAAAATGAGATTTAGGAGATCAGGACTTCGTGGAAGATTTACGTTTAATGTCACACAAAAACTCAAAGACTTAAAGGCATAAACCGGCAAGCTGACAGAAGTGGAAAAGACAGGACTTCAATTGAGGATAGAAAAGTTGAAGATGATGAAGATAACCAACCAACCAACCAACCAACCAACTAACTAACCACAACAAGCATCAATCACACTGTCAGCAGGAGAAATCTGAAAGAAGGAGGCATTGCCTCAACAACAGGCCGTCAAGCACAGATGACGACGATCTCAAATGCAGACTCGGAAAGGCAAGACAAACCATCTGTCTGTCTGTTTTCGACACAGAGCTCTGCACATATGTGCGGCAGTTCAAGTCGCCACACTCCCCCACTCCATGTAGCACACAAAGCCAGAGAAGAAAGTACAAGAAAAGCATAAGAGAGACAGTAAACAGAGGTGTGGGACAAAGGAATAGTAATAACGAAGAACAGTATAGTTTCATTGGAAATCATAATTCACAAGGAGTGGATGCATCTGCGCTAACCATCACTGAGAACGATTTTGAGCCATACCACCAATTGTTTCCAATCAATGGTTTTTATGGTCCCGGGGACTCGAACCAGGAAGTCTACATCTTCCCATGTGGCTGGCTGGCTTAAACTAACTGTTGTGGATTTCACTGACTGATGAATCCATCTTTTGCTTTGACCACCACTGCCTCTTTTCCAGCCTGACCCTATGTCGGCTAACATTGCCCGTCGGTCGAGGAAGCCGATGACTAGGCATGCATACGTAACACATGTCCTAATCATCTCAGTCAATGTAACTTCACAACCTCGTCGATTGATTTCCCCTCCTCCTTGCCTAGTACTCGACCGATACCTCGCCTCAATCTTGCTCACCCTTTTATACCACTTCACACGGGAGATAGAACACAGACACCTATGATCAAAGACATCTAGCTAGCCTTTTCATGTCTTCCACTCTCAATGGCCATGTCTCGCTCACAGCCATAAAAGAGGAGGACAGAGCGGACTGCCGCTGAGCAGTACACCCCCCTTTGGTCGACAGCCAGCCGGATAGCGAGTTTACGCCACCTCGGAGAGCTGGAAAATTCTAATCCTAAACCTAAGGTGGTGGTGTATATGAGTTCCAGAATTCAAAAAGATTGAATGGTGTATGAGCTTTGTGCTTTGGTCACCAGAAATCATGGGAACACACATCTCATAACACTGTTCCACTGCCTTGCGAGGACAGAACTTTGAGTCAAAGGCTCGAGGAGACGGTATCCTCTTAAGACAGCTACTTGTTTCAGTTCGGGTAGTATTATATTGTGGTGGGAGCTGTCTGCGAACAAGCCAAAATTGTAAACTTCAATTTACTTCAATACGTTACGTCCCGAATCGGGGTCATGAGAAAAAACAATAACAAGGCCTAACCTTGAAGAACCCAACAACCAATCACAGCAGACTTAATGTGTGCAAATACGATTCGCAGGTACATGGCTCAACTTTCTGAGAAACGAGGCCACAAGCAGTACAGAAAAACCTTCAGAAGACGTTGCTTCTAACACTAATAATAATGTACATAAAAATCCATAAATATCTGTTGATTTTCTCAATAAACAATTATTTGCATGTCCCTTGTCTACTGTCATTACACTAGTCCTTGCACAAACGATGAGAGTTTGAGGAGCACATCTCTTGGCGCCTATATTGCAGTAACTTAATGTTTTAATAATAATAATACAAATAATAAATTACCACATGTGTAAAACTTGGGCACTGTGGTAGTAAGTAATTCCATATTGGTTTGTTTATTAGATGTATCACACAGTGATGAAACATTATTGTTATTTACCGAATGACAAGGTTTCGAACAAAATTTATTGTTCATAATCATATCAATTGTAATCACACGACTTTGAAACTTGAGCTTTATGGTTTTCTTTGTTCTCTCCTATTTGTCATTGTAGGCATGGTAGTAGAATTTTCCAAATATCTGGGACATCCCATCCTATGTCAGTAAAAATAGGATTGGTGAAATGTTTAAGTGAAATAGAGCACAGAAACTATGTAGTGCTAAGGAAAGTCTAAGACAGGAAGTAATACACATAAAAGAAGCCTTGAAATTTAATAATTACCCTGATAAATTAGTCAGGAAATATGTAAGGAAATGTAAAAATAAAATGAATAATGACATTAGCGATAGTGATAATAGTAATATTAATGACGTCACCAACAATAAGGAATCTGAATCATCAGTAGTAATTCTATACAAGAAAGGAACCTCGGAAACCACCTCCAGCAGAATTCTTAACAAGGCAGGCAGGAATAAAAGTGGCTGGCATTCAAACCCACAAACTCATTTAGAAGCATGCTTTGTCGGTTAAAGGATCCTGTCTGTGGAGCCTTTAAAATAAAACAATTTAGTTTATGTAATACCCTGCTGGAATGATTGTCAGCCCAAATACATAGGTCAAAGTAGTAGAACAGGTGCAGTCAGTCAGACTAGCAGAACATAAAAACCTAGCAAAATCTAGATTGTTTGGTCCAAATAAGATAAGAAATCTAGAGAATAGTTCAGCTATAGCACTAAATGCAGTTACACACAACCATACAATATGATGGAACGGGTAGGATGACAGTTTTAAAATCTAATGTAACAGCAAGGTGGAGGGAGAGATTGATAACCGAAGCTTTGTTTATTGAATCAACCGAAGAAAATACATGTAATAGGAATGATTCAACACCTGTCCAGCCAGATATCTGGAAAATTCTGGAAAAACCCCTTCGACGACAAATAGGAGAAGACAAAGAAAACTATAAAACTCAAGTTTCAAAGTCGTGTGATCACAAGTGATATGATTATGAACAATACTAGATTGTGTTCGAAACTGTGTCATCCAGTAAATAATACTGTTTCACTGACTGTGTGATACATCTAATAAACAAACTGATATGGAATAAATTACCATACGCTGCTTTTAAGAGACAAAAGAAAAGGGCAAAAAAAGAAAGCCGAAACTTCAGTCAGTCACACACACACCCTTCAACTTACCGATAAAAATCTAGCGAGTCTAACGGGATTTCAAGTGAATTCTCATAACCAAAGAAGTAGGGCAATCCAATGAATGCATAACCATTGGGGGAGGTTAAAGAGCCTAAAACGAGTGATTCATCCATTGGCGTAAGAAATATATCTAATTGTAATTTTTGATAATCTGTCATATTGAAATGTGAGCAAGTCTAAATGTTCAATAGATTAGATAAATCAATTTAACCTCACACTTTACCTCTTTGATTACTCGTAAAATTCGTTCAGATGGTTTAGCTTCCCAGGCTATATCGAATTTTGTTAATGACCAACGCGTAATCACTTCATAATATGGTTGAGCATAATATGCTAATGAATAGGCTGTTGTAGCACATAATAGCGCTAATTTTTGGGAATGTTTTGCAAGAAATATTGAAAATTTATTCATATTGTTATCATGTATAGATATATGTTATGATTAAGTAGAAGTTGGAGTTGACGTTTCCTGAAAGAAAAGAATCATGGAAAATACCCATCGGGACACATTAGAGGGCGAAAAATAACAATACGTTCAGTAAAAACGAATATCTATCTTTTTGGCGATTTCATTCTTAGAAAGCAGCTGTAAAATCGCATTTACACATATAAGTTTACATACAATTATTATTTGTTTAATTTCGCATAATTACAAGAGAAGAAAGTAAAAAGAAACGCAAAATAGAGACAGTGAACAGAGATATGAGGCAAAAAGAATAGTAATACAGAGGAAGAACCATATAGCTTCATTAGAAATTATAAGTCACCAGGAGTGGATGCATCTCAGCCAGTCATTGAGAACGATTTTGAGCCGCATCACTAATTGTCTCCAGCCATTTGTTTTTACCATCCTGATGACCCCAACTACGAAGTCTACACCTCCCTTCGTAGCTTAAACTAACTGTTGTGGATTTCATTGACTGATGAAGCCATCTTTTGCTTTGACCATCACTGGCTAACTTTTCCTACTTGATCCATCTTATGTCAGCTAATACTGTCCGTTGGTCGAGGAAGGCGATGGCTAGGCATGGATACGCAGCACATGTCCTAATCATCTCTCTCAATCGACTGTCAACTCTAAGTCAGATTGTTCCAAATTAAATAACTTTGTCGGAAATTAGTCAGTGGTCCTCTTCAAACGGTCTTAAGCTGAATCTGTCTAAATGTCAGGTAGTCAATTTCACTTTCAGACGAAAACGTGACCTACAACAACTAACTAGCTCACATGGCCCCACTATCATTGACGGCATAGAGGTTGAAATTACATCTCAAGTCAAGTACCTTGGACTGAGTATTTCATCCAATCTTTCCTGGTCCTCCCACATTTTTCTAGTTGCTAGAAAGATGTTTCGCTTAACGTTCTACGCTAGGAAGTTAAGGCAGTCTTTGCTTTCTCAGTTTGTCAATTCTTGTATTCCACCCATCCCCTTTTACTCCTCCCCATTAATCTTTCCTGGACTACTTAAGAAAGACTTTGGTTTGCTGAGAAGGGCACTAAAAGCCGTTAGTAGGGCAAGTGGGATATCGTTAAACCAACTGGTTAACACTATTGTGGATAGACATATAATGTCATGTAAGAAACTAGCGAATACAATATTGTCAGACCCCGACCATCCTCTCTATACGCAGCTGTCTCCTTGCATTTCATCTGGTAGAACTAGAAGCAACTACAGGAGGCTATATGCTAGGACTACCAAGTACAAAATCTCCACAATACCATATCTGGCACAGCTGTTATGTGACGAGAAATCCGTTAGGTATGACACGATCAACTTACTGCGCGGCACTCTAACAAACAGTCCCATTAGTTTTTGTTTTCCTTTCCTCGTTACTATTACACTGTCGTTCTCATCTTCTATTACACACCAATTTTATATTTCATTTCCTGCAGTGCATTGTTCAAAATGTTAACGCAGCGGTGTTCTTTTTATTTATCTACTTTTTCTGGTTGTTGCTTTTTGATTTTAAAATCTGATAAAATTTATGAGGTAATTAGATGCAGTATTGTAGTGCACGCTGAAAATTCCATAACTGTACCACAAATACTGTTTGGAATAAAGCTGTTATTATTATTATTAACTTCACAGCCTCGTCGATTGATTTCCCCTCCCACCTACCTAGCACTCGATCGATATCTCGCCTCAATATTGCCCACTCAATTATACCACCATTTAACACGGGGGATAGAAAGAAGACACCTATGATCAGACAGACTACATCGACAACTCCTAGCTTAGAAATAGGAAGTGAAGTGGTGGAGCACGCTGGCCACTTCACTTATTTGGGAAGTTGCATCAGCCAGCCCCAACGGGTTGATTGGTGACGAAATCTCAGCGCAGATACAGAAGGTTTGTCTCAGATATTCCAGTGTACGCTATTTCTGACATAAACGTGATATCCGGCTGGTTGTCGATCAAACGGCGTGTGTACTGCTCAGCGGCAGTTCGCTCCGTCCTCCCTTATGTCTGTGAGCGACATGACCACACAGGATGGATCGGGTTGGAAGACTTAGCTATTGGTGTGCGGTCAAACCAAAACATAGTTTCATCAGTCAATGAAATTCATAAGGGTTAGTTTAACCAATGAGGAGAGGTGTAAACTTTGTGGTCGGGGTCCTCGGGACGGTAAGAAACCAATGAAGGCTGGAGACAATTATCGGTGATATGGCTCAAAATCGTTCTCAGTGATGGCTGGCGCAGATGCATTCACTTCTTGTTACTTATAATATCTAATAAAACTGTACTGTTCTTCCATATTACTATTCTTTTTGCCTTATATCTCTGTTTACTGCCTCTATTTTGCATTTAGTTTTACTTTCTTCTTTTGCTTCGTGTGCTATGTGAAGTGTGGCGACTTTAACTGTTGAACATCGGTGCGAATTTTTACAGTGAATCCAGTCAGTCAAACACAAATTAAAGGAAAAACGACGAACGTAAACTATGACAGCCACACAGATGAACCTTAACACTAACTTTGAATTAATCAAAATTAAATAGCAATAAAAGTTGTAAAATTACTGTCATTAGGTCTTTTTATACTTATGGTCTTGTACTTCAATCTACCCCAAAATTCAATTCCCGTCAAAAGACCAGTTGTCCTATGAAGCTTCTTCCACATATGAGCATGCCTTGGCAATTTCAACCAATCCATCAATCACACAGTAATCAAACACTCGACCTCCCTAGGACTCATCAACTGTATTCAGTACGAAATTCGCAATCTGGCTTAGTTATACCAGCTGTGACCCTAATTGACTGTCGAACGTTATGTACCCCGGTGGATGCGATAGTTTAAATTCTCCCTGCAATCAAGCCACATAAGGAAAAGAAGGGTTAAGTCAAAGAAATGAGGTAGAGCCGTCAGTTAAAAGCTATAAAATGATGACACCGAATATTAAAGAGTTTTCAAGCTACAGTTTGTAGTCATAATTTATCACGGAAACAACTACACCGAGTATCCAAACGTTTGTTAAAAATAATTATTTAACCTTTATTTATCAAACGACATGAGAAGATTAAGGAAAATATGAAACACTTCTATTCCCCAGTGACAATAATGAGATGAATATAAGTTTTATGATGCCTATGGATCCTACAATTTGTCAGGACTTCCATACAAAACTTTCATTAGAATTTGTTTAGTCTGTTTACACATACTTTTTCATTATACACATATATTTGCATCAAAAGAAATAGTGGTCTAGAAAATTTTTGGGGGTTTGCAGCAGTTTAAGGGACGTTGGATTTTCTAAAATGCCTACGAATATATTATTTATACAGATGGATAGCACACTTCGGAAAATTTCATTATTACAGGGTAGAAGAACGCAAGTATTTCATTTCAAGACATAAAAAGGCTGAACCATACGTCTGAAGAGTCTAAAATAATGCATAACCCACTTTAAAAAAACAGCACCAAAGAAAATCTGACAAGACGCTCTCACGGCACGTGACCTTCAGCTCAAATGACGCGCGATCTATCTGGAGTCTATCAATGATTTTGACGAAGAACTGCACATTGAAGCGCCATATTGTGTTTCATGTGCCGATAGTTTCCTTGAAAAGGAGGCATGAGATGTCCAAATAGTATTCATCAGATTTTGTAAGAAAGTTCTCACAACAGTGTTGGGTGCATCAATTGAAGTGCTGAGGGGAAGCTCAACGTACAAATGTATTGACGTAGTGGTGTCTGCAACAACCATCTTAACTTTCCTAAGTACTTTGATTGTTTCTGCAGTGAAATTAGAGCTTAGCGCTTACCTTTCAGAAGATCAGGCAGTGCCATTGAAAAGTGCCCGCATTAAAGAGCAAAATGACAGTATTAGCTTACCGTACCGAGAAATGTGCATACAGAATTTGAAGAAAATTTGGATGGTCTGCACATTCTCACATAAAGGGCGAATGCCATGTTTGTCGATCGTGTGTTGGAGGAAAGTCTGAGATTGAACACTAGTCTAGCACTTGGCTAGATTGGCTATTATCGAGATTTTGAGGGTTGGAGGAAAAAGTTTTGCTGGTGACTATAATGAGTTTTATCATCTGGACTAGCTATCAGAAGTTCACCCGGATACATACAGGCTAAATCTAGGAAACCGGTTAGTTAGGCCTCTTGAATGATTTTGAACTCACTTCCAGTTGGTTTCGACTAGATATAACCATCACGATCGATGTGCCGCCATCAATCCTGCTAGACTTGAGCTCTAGCCACACCACCTGCTGACTCTTTAGCTTGTCCCACCTAACCTGGTAGCCAGGCCGCTCTTATCACCACTCCAACGACAGGAAGGAGAATATAACACTTTCGGCCGCTGAAAGATGTGTTTATTGACGATGATCTGGAAAGATTGCGTAGGTAAATAATCACACCTCAACGAAGCTACCGAGCTTTCTTCTCTTGGGAATTCTGTTTTCCAACATATGTTTTAGTGCGCACGGACTAATCTTTGGCGGTGAAACGAATGGGGTTCAATTGATCTGACGGAGTTCCTTGATCCCTCATTAGGTCTCTTCTGCACAGGTAATTATGAGTAAAATGCTGAAATGTCTGTGTGACGTTGTGTAGACCAAAGGGCATGTGAGGAAACTTAAGAAGACTATAAGGGGTGGCTGCGTGCTGTCTTAGGAAAAGCATCATTGAGTACGGGGATCTGATGATGATGTAAATGTTTAATAATCTTCTACTGTGAGTTGCGACTTTTGTGTCGTTGTCGGCACGTAGTTACAGGGATATCAAATTTTCGATTCCTTTTCGTTGTAGTTCGGATCACGCTAGCCTCTGCGCCGGTACCAGCCAAGAAGTTTATCTCAGAGTTACGATCTGTGACACGGAAGAGGCGACAAGAGAGTGACTCGCCCCAGGTGTCCTTTGCCATCACCTGTGAGCTCACGCGTTTCCCATTTGGCTGGTGTCAAAGGTGCAGGAACGAATACAACATCGAGCAGTAACACCATAGCATCGATTTTTTCGACAAATAATATCTTTATTCTGAACAGTATTTATAAAATGTGCAGAATTTTCAAGAGAGTTTATTACATGATATTTTCCCTTCGTGCAATCAATGTTCTCAAGTAGAATGTTAATTGACAATATTTCCTGTGCATGATACAATGGTAATTGAAATGATGAAGCACAAACCATTCCATTCTAATATACATGCTCTGTCTCCCTCAAGAAATCCATCCGCAAATCTGATTGAAAGCCAATTGTAAGATGTTCAGAAGTATATTTTTAGACCCGGGAACATAACTGAAGAACAGTTATCTGATGTGTTGGAACACGTTATCACCGACGATCAGGCCTTTCCTCAAGTTTACTAGGAACTTGCGAATCACAAGCTTGTAAACGTTTTAATTACACACGTAATTGCCGATGTCAAACCCTAGATAGTCCTTAACGTCAGCACCTGCTAAGCTTGTATTCCTAGGTCGAAAATGATGAGTACTCTACCTAACGTGTAATTACCGGTAGACGAACTCGAAGTAAAAAGACTTGAGACTCGGTAGTGTGCCCGGATGAGAATTATATTTTTACCACAGATTAAATGTCAAGTTTATTGAATAAGATTACTGTACAACTGGGGTAGCGAACTCAAGAGTGCGCTTAAAGGTAGCATAACGAGGGAGCAAGCTATGTGCGAGCAGTCACGCCGGAAGAACAGCGAAGGCAGGTCACAATATTACATGAATGCGTTAAAACAAAAGTTCAGACATTCAAGGTGCACCACAGGTTATCTCCACTCCATAGAAGGTTGGTGGGATACCAGTAACCTTCGACACACGGAAGCAGTGAGTTGAAAGATAACTGTTTGTACAATAACACTCAAGGAATAAGGGATATTGAAGAGAATTAAAAGTTCAAGGGAAATGGGGGCCGCTATGTACAGTGAAATATAAGAAAAAATGCCGCTAGTGTTTCAGTGAGATTTCAGAGTTTTAAGGTGTTGCTTTTTGTTTTTGTTGATATTATTTTTTTATTTCCACTATATATTTTTTGTATCTATTATTATTAAATTTAAATAAAACTCTATACCGGTACGGGCTCAAGTGCCACACCTACGGTGCATGGAGTGTAGGGGATACCCAGCTGTCGCCCAGGCTGAATTAATGGAAAGGTGACTTATTGTCTCTAAGTTGAGTCTTGGACCAGTGCTTCACTCCTTCACATCAGCAGCATGCACCAGTCGACACAAAAGATAACAAATATGCTAGCGTAGTAGAAAGAACAAGGTAGAGGAAAAGTAAGTGGAAAAGGCTAAGATTTCAAAATTGACATACGATTACTACAAAGGCTTGTGCCAAATAAATGCAAGGAATCATGGTGAACAACACACACAAGACTAGATAGTACCATCAGAGATCACACCCCAATCAATAAAAACGAACCGATTGAGCGAAAAGATGTGCGATAGAGAGATAGAAGTTTTCGGTAGCCCAAAGTTACAGCAGGCCGCCAGTATTTAGTGAATTCCAGTTTGAGAGTTTCTCACCTCGTCACCTTTTCTTGAATTGGTATCATTTCTGTACCGCGGTACGTTCAACGTTTGCGTTACATTTTTGCGTGATTCGTTACATAAATTTATCTTGTCGTAATACTTGCACAAATACTATACTACTTCCATACCTGTAACCATTAACTCCTATTTCTGATAGTTATGGTTAATCAAAGTAAAAAGCAACGAACCCAATCCCCTGTAAATGTGGTGACTAATTTAACGTCCTTGATTGTTACATCAAGCAACACCCCCCCTACAAACGGTTACAGTGAGTCACATAACTCACTTGTATGCCGTAAGCGTCGAGCTGGAACTGAGGATAAAACTGTACTGACAGCCAATATTAGCACTACTCCTAAAAATTCAGTACCCTCTGCTCATACAGAACCCCTCCCTTCACCTTATGTGGTTATCGGGAAACTCTAGCCGTCAAGCTCTTTTTCAGTACTATCTTCAGAAATAGAACTTCTAAAGTTCTCTATAGGAGAACTTATGGCTGAATTAAGGGGAATAAAAAACAATAAGTCAGTAAATGCTGGAAATATTGAAACCAATACCGAGATATCCAAATTATCAGATCAGCGATATCAAATCACAGGTCTGTGAACTAACACCTCTAACTATCCTCATGAAAACTGTAAACCTTAAGAAACTTGACACAGAATCGGTAACTAAGGTAGATAACTTCATTAACTTTGTTACCACAGAAGTAACAAAACAACTCGACGCAAAACTGAGTGCTATTGTCTACAACGTTCCGGACAATGAGGCACTAAAAAAGGTACAGCGCATCTTACTTAGTGAGGTTAAAATGCCTAACTCCGAGACTAAGTGCTGTAGGCTGAAGAAGAGTCAACATGAAAAGTGTTGTCCTATTCGTTTTCAGTTCGAAACACCGACAGAGACCAGAAAATTCATTCACTCCCAACACACCCTATCGCAAGCCAGAAACTGCAAACTTATAAAGGTCGGGGTTGACAAAACAGTCATAGAAAGGCGCACATACAATTATCTCGCTAAGACTAATTGTGAAACAAGTAACAGGACATTGCAAGGAGCCATTATTCCCAACCCTGTGAGAGATAAAGTAGAACCCACCGCATCACCCCTCTCAAAACACACAGAATTATCCTATCAGAGTGCAACACCAGTCGAAAGGCCACTAGACTGTAACCAAATAAATAATGAAACCATGCCACCCATCGCCGCAGAATCTAACATGCCACTAAATAACCCCAGAAAAAAAGTCAAAACCCCCCGAAATTTGACATTGTCCTCTCCTAGCCATAACTCCATTGGTAAAGATAATGAAAATATGCCCCCAAATCATGACAACAAAAACGGTGGCAGCTTAAATAAGCCCACACTCCCCACGGTCCACAGTATTAGCACTCACAACGTGCTAAATCGCACCATGGCACACACTAATATACAATGTCACAACAATGTCACCATCAATAATACAAGTGGTAACAGTCAGAACTCGGCTACCAACAACTCAGGGTCTTCAGGGAATGGCACACAAACAAATTTTGACCAAATATATAGTACAAGTCGGCTGGGAACTAACCCACAATGCAGTACACACGAAACCCACACAAGGACACAACTAGCATCAAGCAGTAGGTGGAATAATAAGCCATGGTCATCGCAAGGATCCAATCATTTTTTATCCCCTGCGTCCCTGTCAGCGTTGAAAAAACAGCTGGTAGGGATGTTAACACTTCTAAACCACTAGTGCTGGATCCCTCCTTGAAGAAGACAGGAAAGGTCTAGTGCACCCATATTCATTAAGCACACCTGACACTTCCACAAGAATAGGTCAAATAAAGAACGCTACCCACTTCTGTAGCCCAACTAAAAATAAAAATTCCCTAGCCTATAGCAAATCCAAAAATCCAACGGCTGGACTTATTTATCACGTACTGTTGAAGTTCCGCTTGGGAATTGTTTTTGCCAACAATTTTTAATAAAATTGTGTTATATGTTAT